GCAGTACCAACTGATTGTTGTACACGATGGTTAAGTGTTGGGAAAATAATTGTGTTTATCTACAATAAATGGAACGATATTGAATTAAGATTGTTGGAAATGTATCTTGAATATACTGTTATCGATGATGTTGATATACTAGAATGTATATTGTTTGTTTTTTCAAAATAAAAATAACTATTTTAACTTCTTTTTTAATTGATACAATTGTTAATTTGAACAATTTAAACAAAAATTTACAAATTGAAAATGGGTTAATTGTAAAAGAAACTGGTAAAACTGTTAATTTTTACAACAATGATAATGACAAAATCAACAAATTAAATAACAACGATTTTTCTGAATTTGAAAATATAAATGGTTGTAATGTGGTTATTTGTTCGGCACAAAAAGAGTTGTTTTTGGAAATACTAGAAAAAATTAAAAAAAAAATCGAGTTGAGATTTAATTGTGTTAAATTTAATGGTTTTGAAAGTACAAGTAATTTGGTTTACTCAATTTTGGAAATTTATACATTGTTTGCCTTATATTTTGGCAAAATAATAAAAAACAAACAAATTGTTATACCTTTACAACTCAAATATTTGTTGGAAGAAATTGTTCAACTTAGAACAGTTGTCAATGATGAAATAGAGTTCGTGTTAGTTAAAAACATGGATGTAAATTGTTTTGATATTTACTCTTAGGTTAATACAATTAAAATATATCCAAAATTGTGGAATTTTTATTTGTATATCTCTGCTGTATTTCCAACAAGTACAATGAGTAAATATGATTTTTCTATAGAAAAAAATACCTGGCAACCAAACATTTCATTTTCTTCATTCAACGCGAGAGTTGTGCTTAAAAAGAACAAATCAATATTGTAATCAAATAACATTTTTTAATTAAAATATTTTGAAATTTTGTTTAAATTGTTAACTATCGTTTTATTGATTTAAAAAACATTTTTACATCAAAATTTTTTATTTGTATTTTTATTTACAATTTGCTAAAACTAAATAAATAATGACAAGTATTTGAGATTGCCACGAAGTTGTTTAAAAACTGGATCTTGGCCGACTCTGTGTTAACATATTTTTATGCCAACTTTAGACGGCATACCGCCATATTTCTCACTATCAATCACTGTTATTTTTGGAACTCCAAAACATCAACTTTTATTTAAACTAAAATTTTTGGTATTACATTGTCTTGAGAATTTATAACTTTTAATTGTTCAAACAAACAAGTAAAACTAAACAATGCTTGGAAATATTCAAAAACAATAGATAAAAGTTTATCTATCTTTTTGTTGTTTCCTTATATAAATATTAATTAATTTAACGCCAAGTTTTTTAAGTTGGCCTTTTCAAGGGTTTATAATTTAAAAGTTTCATTTAATTTTTAATGATGATGATCAACAAAAGTTTAAAACAAATTTAATAGTAAAAGGTGTACTAAAAAACCACTTTTATATTATATTATATTATATTATATTATATTATATTATATTATATTATATTATATTATATTATATTATATTATATTATATTATATTATATTATATTATATTATATTATATTATATTATATTATATTATATTATATTATATTATATTATATTATATTATATTATATTATATTATATTATATTATATTATATTATATTATATTATATTATATTATATTATATTATATTATATTATATTATATTATATTATATTATATTATATTATATTATATTATATTATATTATATTATATTATATTATATTATATTATATTATATTATATTATATTATATTATATTATATTATATTTTG